GCCCACAAAATACACACGTTCTCTAGCAACATTCAAGCCCCACTTTCAGTCAAGTACAACAACAAAATATAGGATGAATAACATGTTTCATCCAACTAATACAGTGAAAGCCTATGTTTTTTTAGACCTAACAACCTGTAGCTTCTTTGCCTTTCCCTTTTCAACACAAAATGGAGATGTCACTGGATGTCCAACAGGCTCTATGGCGTCTTCAAGTTCCAGCAGCCTCTTACGACTATAGATGAGTATAGAAACATGTCAGCTAAATACAAGTAGCAACAGGAACATAAAATATTCAACAAGAGTTATACCCTCTTGTCATAGGACTTGGAGTAGAAACCGAGGTGCTGATTCTAGTTGATGTAGATGGTTCTAGTTCCAGCAACCTCCTTGTCATACTACATGCAAATACAATCATATGATAATGTATTATTAGTTATTACATATTTGACAAGGGGACAAATATCTCAAATGCTCAAATTGCAATGGTACCTTCTTGTCATAGGGCTTGGTGTTTGAGAAAAAGTGATGGGTCTTGTGGGTGTAGCACTGTAAGTTGTGATATATGTAAGTTAGGTGAAAACAAAAAATCCATAAATAAGTTTAAAAATCTTACAATGGGTCAACATATGATGGTAGTTCCTGTGGTGGCTCAGCAGCATTGGATGGCACTACTGTGACACTTTTCTTGCCTCTCTTTCTCTTTGGCTTTGGAGCAGCAGGTGGTGGTGCATCAGAATCATAGACATATTCATTGCATGTTTTCTCCATGTGTCCAAGTTGTTTGCATCTTTTGCATCTTGTGGTTCTCTTTCCAGATCCACCTTCTGCAGCTGATTTAAACCTCCTCTTCCGTGGTCTCCCGGCTGCTGATTTCAGAATTGGAGGCCACAACTTAAATCCAAGGTTCACGTGAGGCCACTGTTTCCTATCTGCCATTGGCTTTACACATTTTTGGTATGCCTTCTTAAACTTTTCAACAGAGTAGTATTCATGAACATAGCCTTCAATATTACAACCTCGAATTGAGGTGATAAGACACAAGGCATGTGTACATGGCAGACCAGTAACTTGCCAACGTCTACAAGTGCACTTCCTCTCTTGAAGGTCAACAGTATGCCTCCAGTGAACTAGATTCCTTGTAACACCTTCAACTTCACCTAACATTTCAGTAGCCCTACCACCATCTTTGTATGCATACCTCCACACATATTTCAGCCCCCTACTTCTTGCATTGAGGTCCTTCATGACATTTGGCAAAATCTTATCTTTAAGCTTCATGGCAATTTTTCTTCTCAAGAACATTTTATCCATGCATAATTGCCTTATCCTATCCATAAGATCAACTACCGGCAATGATTTCTCATCCCTAATCCAGCTGTTGAATGTTTCAGCAATGTTATTTGTTACATAATCACACTTGCTTGCTTCAGAAAATAGGTGCCTAGTCCATAGGTGCTTATGGTTATCATGTATCCACTTCATAGCTTCAGGACATGCTTCATACATCAAATTGTAGTGCTCCTCAAACCTGTGCTTTTGAAAAGCTCTACATGCTGGCCACAAGTGCTTCTCAAAGACCTCACCTCTGAACCGTTTCTGGAAGTTTGCAACTAAGTGTCTCATGCACTCCCTATGCTCAACTCCATTTTTAAAGACTTCAGTAACAGCAGAATCAATTCCTTTGCCTGCATCTGTTGAGATCACTAGGCCTGGAGGTGATCCAATTGCTTGCTGAAGTCTCCTAAAAAACCAAGACCAATTTTGAGTTGTCTCCGATCCAAACACACCATAGCACACTGGAAACATCCAATTATGGCCATCAATAGCCGTAGCAGATGCAAGTTGTCCCTTCCATTTCCCAGTCAAATGAGTAGAGTCTACACCAAGGAAAGGCCTACAACCATTTAGAAAACCGTCTACACAAGCTTTCAGGGCCACAAACATTCTTGTAAATCTCTTTTTCTTTCCCACCTGCTCATATTCAATGTCAACCAAACTCCCTGGATTGGTCTTCTCCACCTCAGCCTTGAAACTAAAAGCATACTCAAAGCTGTCATCCCACTTCCCTTTGAGTTGTTCCAAAGCCATATGCCTACCATCCCACACTACATAATATGACAACTGCAGGCGATACTGTTCTTGTAGTTTTTTCCTCAGTTCTGTAGCTCCAATTGTGGGATCCTTTGCAAGCCAACCAAGAACCCTATCCCTGATCCAACGGTTGGTTGCCATGCAGTTTTGCTCAACTTGACCAGTGCTTTGACAATTATGCTCATTAGGTATCCTTTTTATCTACACCAAATGAAAAAAATTGAATTTGCATAAATCTGAAATTGTACAAAATTGTATACAAACAATAATGGAAACAAAATTAAGTTGCAAAATTATACCTTCCAGGTCTTCCCATCCTGCAATTGTGAAGCATGTATCCTCCATTTGCACCGTTCAGCTTTGCAGTAACCTCTGTATCTTGTTGATTCAGAATAGGGAGCTGCAATTTCATATTCACCCTTTACTGCATACTGCCTGATAGCCTTCTTAAAAGTATCACCATCCGCAAAGGTCACACCAACTTCTATTCTTGGGTTCTCTAAGTCAGTTGCATGGACAATGGTCTCACAATCTCGTGCATCCTCCACCAGTAAGTCATCCTCCAAATTAACACGCTCATCATCCTCTACGTCATCGCGGCCATCTAATTCAGCATCCAATGAATCAGAAAGCAACGATTTGTAGCGGTCCTCGTCATCTAGACCAACATACTCTACATCATCATCGACCCAATTCACTTGAGGATTGTTCTGGACCAAAGGCTCTACTACAGATGATGCAATTTCAAGAGAAGGCTGCACAATTAACTGGTTGGCAGGAGCATTAGTGTTACCATGTAACACAGTAGGCATGTCCTGTTGTCGCCCAATATCAAGCTCCAAACAAAAATCATCCTTTATCATAACCCGCACTTGAACTGAGAGCCTTCTTATCTCCCAATACATGTCAATTGCATGCAACAGTTTGTCATCAGAATCAATTTCTTCATAGCTACGACTGATATTATCCCAATAGGTGACACGCAACTTGTGTTTAGATTCTATCTTAATTTCAGAACCCATGTCAAGTACCAAATCATTCCAATTTGTAGTATCCCTATCTAAAATCTTAGCAATATTAAAAGCATCACAATACTCGCGCTTGCTATCTTCAGTCAATCTAACAAAAGCACCAACACGTGCAGCAAACCTGTAGGACGAATTCTGATCCATCCTACGACAGAAACAAAATCTAAATCAACAGTTCATACGATTTTCTTCAAAAAATCAGGGCTACAGTACCAACTAACCAAACCCTAGAAGAAAATAGCAGAAATCGTTTACCCGTCAGGGACCCATGAAAGATCAGCGTGCTCTTCAGAAAAAATCTCGTTCAAGAATCGTGGAGGCTCCATCGCCTTCTCAGTTTCGGGATCCGGAGTTGCCGCTCTCCTCCGCTTGCTGCAGGGCGCCGTCGCCGCCATCTTCTGCGCGTGTCCGCCGACGGCGGAGCAGCAGCGCCGCTGGCCGCTGCCGAGAGGACCGCCGCTGCCTGCTCTCTTGCGGGCTTGCGCACGCGAAGTGCTGAGCTTTGTGAGAAAGGAACACAGAGTGCCAGCAGCTTCGTGAAAAAGGAACGCACGCAAAGCTTTGTGAGAAAGGGATGAAAGGGTAAGGGCATTTCTGACATTTCGCGTGGCTATTCAATAAACATCCAATATAATATTCAGTTTGTGTCCTGTGGCAAAGTGAGTACGTTTTCTAGTGTGTTATAGCAAAGACGTCTTTT